ACGTTGGATTGCGTGCAGCCAGCAGTAACAGCCTGGTTGATCAGGCTCTGATCCACCAGAAGGCCTGGTTACAGACCGGGCAGCTGGGGCGTTGACCCCCGAAACTCTCTCCAGGTAAACTCCAATATATATGTGTATATATATATATATATATATATATATATATATATATATATATATATATATATATATACATACAATATATTATACAAAATAAGCACGGGGGTAAATTCAATAATAGCTTTAAGCCTTTCGTGTTGCAATCAGCAAATCAGGAGCTTGCAATATTGCAGAAAAGAGGAGATCCAAGCAGATACGATCACAGGGAACGCCTATGATCGTCTATACTGTGTTATATATTCTATAATATACATTACTTTTGTTTATGCAATGCTGCTGCTATGGGCGCACATCAGGAGAGGTATACCCTTGAGAATATATACAACGTGTCGCTTGAACATACCAAATTTCGTAGCGTATTATCCTTCATAATTTAGGTAAGTGGGAGACGGTGATCAAAGGCAAAATATGAAATTGTTATAAAATATAATGAGGAATTTGTTGCGTAGTAAAATCTTGACAAAAATCAAATTTACCGATATTCGTTTTCAAGACCAGATGATTTAACGTAAACTTGGTAATCAGTGCCCCTAAAAAATATACTTTTGAGCAAAATGGCACTTTAAGATGATATTTCTATGCTCAGAGAGAGGGGAAAAATATAAAGTTCATTTTCTTGATGACCGTGACGGGTGCAGGAAAAGTTCCAGTAATTACTACTAAAAGAATCTCAAATTCTCTTCTTGCAAAATGGAATTTGTGTTGATCTCAGCAAAATGGAAGGAAAAACGATTAGGGCGATTTTTTTTTTTACTGAGTTTTTAAATAAACTTTCTCAAATAATTACGAATTGCTAGACACTGTTATTACTGAAAAAAAAACCTACGCCAAGCCGAACATGGAAATATTTTGCGTTTTATTAAAAAAACTTGTTTATTCGTGAGAAGCGTAAAATAAACATCTATATTTAGTCTGGAGACGTCAAAAGTTAGGTTATGTTAGATAAGATTTATCAGGAAACAGGACAAGTGTTTTCTGACGCGGGTCTTAGTTCTGTGATAACCCACAGCTGGAGCTCTTGGTCATCAGACCGAGCCCTTCAGCTGGCTTACCCCTCCACCCCTTTAAAAATTAAGGTTATAACTACAAAAGGGTATGTGTCAGAACTCTCTTAAGTTAACCCGAATGTTCGCCTCTCTTCCGTATGAGAGAAAACCGTTATTTTATTTACGCGAAGCGGTAAACCCGTGAAGATCATTCAGCTCAAAGAATGATGGAGGCTCGATCCTAAGTCAGCTAATAGAAAGGAACATAAGCAGCTGTGAAGAATGAAACCACTGACTGGCGAAACGTTTCCTCAATAAAGATTCCGGAATGTTACACAAGTGTCTCATTCTTAAATGATCAAGAGGAGGTTTAACAAGAGGTAAGGATTTGAGCATCCCGCAGGCATGCGTGTTGAGCATCCCGCAGGCATGCGTGTTGAGCATCCCGCAGGCATGCGTGTTGAGCATCCCGCAGGCATGCGTGTTGAGCGCAGAAACGTGGTTAATGGTATATGACGTGTTGTTCGTGGAGTTCATTACCCTTGTAACTTGTTCAATTATCAAAACTTTGGGGCCCAGTCCCTGGACCCATTATGTACCTCTGTAATCTTTTGACTACCACCCACAGGATGGGTATGGGGCCCATAATTGATATTAAACTAACTGATGTGTTGGAGTGTGAACAAGATAGATGAAGGGATTCAGGGAAAGTGTTTATCTGAATTTGTATACTGGAGGTGGAAAGTATACTCAGGTGGGAAGTACACTCAGGTGGGAAGTACACTCAGGTGGGAAGTACACTCAGGTGGGAAGTACTCAGGTGGGAAGTACACTCAGGTGGGAAGTACACTCAGGTGGGAAGTACACTCAGGTGGGAAGTGTACTCAGGTGGAAAGTGTACTCAGGTGGGAAGTACACTCACGTGGGAAGTACACTCAGGTGGGAAGTATACTCAGGTGGGAAGTACACTCAGGTGGGAAGTACACTCAGGTGGGAAGTACTCAGGTGGGAAGTACACTCACGTGGGAAGTATACTCAGGTGGGAAGTACACTCAGGTGGGAAGTACACTCAGGTGGGAAGTGTACTCAGGTGGGAAGTGTACTCAGGTGGGAAGTATACTCAGGTGGGAAGTATACTCAGGTGGGAAGTACACTCAGGTGGGAAGTACACTCAGGTGGGAAGTACACTCAGGTGGGAAGTACACTCAGGTGGGAAGTACACTCAGGTGGGAAGTGTACTCAGGTGGGAAGTCCACTCAGGTGGGAAGTCCACTCAGGTGGGAAGTCCACTCAGGTGGGAAGTACACTCAGGTGGGAAGTACACTCAGGTGGGAAGTACACTCAGGTGGGAAGTGTACTCAGGTGGGAAGTCCACTCAGGTGGGAAGTACACTCAGGTTGAGTTGCTCCGGTTTAGTGGGTCATTGACATTGTGGTATCTGTGTAGTTCTGGGAAGACAGCAACTGACTTATTAACAGTAAATGTTTCTTCCTCTGGGCTAAGATACCTTGTTGGGAAACAGCCGAGTTGTTACCTTTCTCACAAGCTTTTTACATTCAAGCATAATACTAAGTTATCCAGTAACTTGGACGAGAAATACGTTTATGAAAGTTTGGAGCTGACACTAAGTTTAATTCTACCTTCCTTTGCTTTACGTAATTATTATATTTAGAGTACAAATTCCAAAAATCTATATTGTGGTCGCAGTGACGTGCACGCAGGAACACATTTAGAGTACAAATTCCAAAAATCTATATTGTGGTCGCAGTGACGTGCACGCAGGAACACATTTAGAGTACAAATTCCAAAAATCTATATTGTGGTCGCAGTGACGTGCACGCAGGAACACATTTAGAGTACAAATTCCAAAAATCTATATTGTGGTCGCAGTGACGTGCACGCAGGAACACATTTAGAGTACAAATTCCAAAAATCTATATTGTGGTCGCAGTGACGTGAACACAAGAACACATCACTTCCTTCATTCCTTCATTATCTATTCTAACATGTGCTTATACACGATGTTATTCAAACTTTTGCCTATTTTTTTTTCACACGTTCCTGACCCTAATCGCAGAGAGGAAAGCACACTGCTTTTCTCAGCATTATTCTTGATTTATCTTTTGACCTCTAATCTATTGGTGTTATTGTATCAGTAAGCTGCATCAATCTCATCTCTCTAACAAATGGGTGTTAGTCGACTGGTGTGGGTCGCATCTTGGGACAAAATTGACCTAATTGGCCCGAAATACTCTGCATAATAAGCGGCTTTCAGTAAAGTAGCATGTTATTGATGTCAACTATGGTCTGTATACTTTGTACATGTACTTGTAGAAATAAAGAAGATATTATATTACAGCTTCCCATAATAGGTTACAACGAAGTATTTACTGAATTATTCACATAGGAGTCTAAAGTGCATAAAAATATTTTCCGGCAGCAAAATAAGCTATTAACTCAAGTTTAAGTTGTGATAAGCAACTAAGTGAATAAACAGAACGGTAGAGCGTCGGACCGCCCACCCGTCTGTATATTCATAGGCTGCTAAATTAATTTGCTGTTGGTAATGCTGATCTCTGAAAATAGTGCATATTTTATCTATAAAAATTAAATGGCTCTCTCACACACACGTAGACGATATTACAAATATTTCCACTTGCTGGCCATGACGTGAATTTGTGAATATTAAAAAAGATTTTATTTACCCAAGAAGATCTGAAAATATTGTCATTCTGAACAAACGGAAAAGTCATCCTCTACATATATATATTTGATCAGGAAGTAAAATCAATGTTAATAATTAGGATTCAAAGTATTTAAAAAAAAATAAAAAGGATTAGGCCCAGTGGATTTCCCACTGCACTACCGTAAATCTGCCAGTAAAAGAAAATTATCCTTAGTAAGAAATATAGTGACTTGCTTGAAGAAATATAGTTTCTTTGACTTTAATTCTGGTGGAGAATTAACGCCACAGCTGACACATCATTACCATCTCGTCAAGTTAGTTATTCAGTTGTATGTGAAGTGTAAAAAAATCTGATACCAAGATACTCACAGCCAGAAGAAGGATGAAAGTATTCATCGTGGAGTGTGTTGATGATGATGGGCAGCAAGGAAGACAGAGAACCAAGGGTCCTTGCTATGGTTTATATACCATGCTGCTACACGGGATGCCACACACCCCCTTCCTGTTCATCTGGATTACTTACTGACGAAAATGATGAGAAGGCACAAGTAGAGCAGTTTTGAGGCGATGTTTCGCTCAGTGTAGTGCTTTATCTTGCCATGGATTGATCAAACTCTTCACAGGCGAAACGTTATTAATAATACTAAAGCTAGATCCGAAACGTCTCCCTTCTTCGCTTCCTGTTTCTGTATCGTGTTCTTGCACAACTGTCACTGCTCTGTAACAAGCTGACGTGTGTAGCGTTAAAAAACATTTATTTTTTATTAGCTATGCACTGTTTCATATTCCCCAAAAAACATTTTTTTTGGCTGTACTGTTTTGCATTAACAAAGAAGAAATTCTCTCTACTCAGTCTAGGAATTTACAGATTTATTCTCGTAAAATATTCACGTGAATTTCGGATTTGAAAACAAAAATGGAAAAATGGAAGAGACGGAAAATGTTCCTCTGGTGTCAGGAGAAAAAAAAAAATCACCCACTATGAAAAAAAAGCCAATCATTCTCACTTCCAAAACAACTAAAGAATTTATAATTATTAGGAATTCGTTATTTATACCGAAATTTTTATTTTTTTAATACAACATACAGGTGCATAAAATATTTTGAAAATTTATATATATATATATATATATATATATATATATATATATATATATATATATATATATTATATATATATATATATATTTTCTCCTAATATTGGGTGTCTTCATGCTGGTGGAGGGCTTTTAATCCAAGAAACTGGAGCTAATCTCACTTTCCTTGTGTCAAACGTTATCTCCTTTCATCCTCCAGGTACTGTATAGCCCCTGAGTGTTAAGAGCTTCCTTATAATAACAATAATTTTCTCTTTGTTTTTTTCTCTCTCTCTCTTTACACAGGGTTTGACAAGGTTAGGTTTAGGATCTCTAGCTTTATTGACAAGGTAAGAGTCTCTCTCTCTCTCTCTCTCTCTCTCTCTCTCTCTCTCTCTCTCTCTCTCTCTCTCTCTCTCTCTCTCTCTCAAGTTAGTGGCACCTGAGATGCTGTATATACTAAGAACTTTGAAACTATGGTATATTTTTTGGTATAACGATTTAAAATTAAATTAACACAGTCAGGATCATTGCTATGACCCAATTGCTGTATGACCCTGTGGGTTTAGCGCTCAGTTTTGATTATAATGATTACTGTGACCCAATCATGAGTTTCTGTGGAGAAGCCTTTAGCAGATATGTAATTAGTGAATTATTATTATTATTATTATTGTTATTATCATTAATTATTTTTGTGATCCTTCCGTGTCTTAAAAATTGTGAATCAGCACATTGATAGCACAAGAGCTAGAGCTTTAACTTGCTGCTGCTGCTCCCATGCGGGATCCTTAAAAAAATGATAATTCGTAATTGGGTCGCAGTTGTGGCCTTTTCTAACATAAATAACAAAAACACAAAATACCATGATTGGGACAATACGCAAATAACCCGCACATTGGAGAAAGAAACTTACGACGACGTTTCGGTCCCACCTGGACGACTTAATGATCCGATCTGGACCGAAACGTCGTCATAAGTTTCATTCTCTTATGTCCTTTTTATGTATTCTCTATCATTTTCACTAAACAGTTTCTGGTTGATGTGTAATTGTGACCCTTCTACCATGGTGGTCAGTGTTTTAGGTTAATAATCTTAGCATTGGGGCGAAACGTGTCCTATAATAAATGTCCTGAACCGTACATAAGTATCTTGTCCCACACCTTGTCGGTATAACCATACCATTCTTCAGTCTAAGGTTTCTTGAACCAGAGGTTCGAGTCCTGTTCAGAATTGCTTACATTTTCTCGTTGTTCATTTCTAAACACGTGAATTTTTCTTTTTTTTTTTTGGGTGGTCACCTTACCATGGTGAGAGAAGACCAATGTGGTAAAAAGAATATATATATATATATATATATATATATATATATATATATATATATATATATATATATATATATACATACATACGGAAGGAGGGTCGAGTTCTCACTATTCCTTGAGCTTACTTATTTGAGTTTAGCATTTGACGTAAAGCGTAAATATTTATATATTATCAGCATATGAGTGGAGAAACCCCAAGATAATCTTAGCTGTCAGTCTCATAACATCCGGATCTGGAAACGTTTCTGCGTTCTTTTTTCTTTTCTGCCTGGAATAAAACTTTGTTTAGGGACGTTTTGCCCGCAGTAAGGGGTGGCTTCAAGTATATTTAAGGGTTTTCGCCCTCAGCTATCCATTTCTGTTTCGGTAAAACGTTTGTGCCGTTGTTTGTTAGGTTTAGGACTAGGGATTAATGAAAACGTTGGGCATTTTTCTTTACGCTAGTTACCCCTGTTCACCTAGCAGTATTTTCCGGCATATAAGGCGCTTCTTTTTCCCCACAAAAAGACTTGGTAAATCACCCAGCTCTTTATATGCGCAAGGTCAGGGTCAAGGGTAGACTCTGGGTTACGCTTTCGCCTAAAGTAAGAGGGTAATTAGCCCTTAAATGTGATTACTCGTTTACCGTTACGATACTTCTGTCATGCGCCTTATATGCCGGAAAATACGGTAGGTCCCTAGTCACGACTGTTGTGGGTCGCATCTCAGAAATAATGTTAGGGTACCTTGGGTAAGGTCAGGTATCGCACTGAGGTTAAATAACAGCTTTTAACCCGTAAAATCAGATGTTAAATTATTTTAAGAAAATTGTTGCACAGAATAACAGTTTTGATGCCAAGTTCGGCACGTAAAGAAAAGTGAAGTGCCACGGGAAGTTTCTCAAAATACTGACCCTTCCAACAAAGCACAAAGTACAGCCAGAGAGTATAAAAAGAAAGCACCAGGGACAAACATCCGGCCTCAAGAGTGAAGCCGGAGTTGGAAGCGTCCTAATGCGTCGCTGGGAAAGGTCAGACCATGAGATCCAAGACCTCTGTCTCTTCGACTGTGCGATGGCAGGTCTTGTGACCTTCACCATGAAGATAAAACAGGATGTGTGTGTGTGTGTGTGTGTGTGTGTGTGTGTGTGTGTGTGTGTTTTCACCCAGCTGTACTCTACACTTCGTGTATGTGAGGGATAAAGATTTGGCTTTTGATCAAGCCTACGCAGTAACTGCCTGGTTGATCAGACCGTGATCCACCATGAGGCCTGGCCACAGACCGGGCCGCGGGGGCGTTGACCCCCGGAACTCTCTCCAGGTAAACTCCAGGTAAACGATTTTTTTTTTTTTGATCGGCATTGCTGATAAACAGTCTTTTACCTCATCGTATCTGCTCTTGAAGCCGTGCATTAAATGTGATCCCCCGCAATTCGTCTTTAATTTGATCACTTTAAGTTTTCTAATATCCATATATTGTGATAACCTGTTCCAAAAGCAGATAATTCAAAAAGTCAGTGATCGAATTTCAACGGGATTTATGCATAACGTTTACAAACTAAAACAGTCGAAGTTACAGGTGAATTAAAAAATCTACTCAACAAAGCCTCATTTCTGCAATCCAGAGAGTAAATACTGAACCTTAACAACACAAGTTCATCTCAGGGAAAGAGGGTCTTATGTTCTCATGAATTTTCTCATTTTCAATGTGTCAGTAGAAATAAAATCTTTGCAATTCGCCCGGTTGTCTCAGGAATTGTTTCTTATCCTTTACTACGAGGCTATATATGTACTCGCTTAATTGTACTCGCCTAATTGTACCCACTGATCGCTACTAGGTCCTCTCTCTCTCTCTCTCTCTCTCTCTCTCTCTCTCTTCTCTCTCTCTCTCTCTCTCTCTCTCTCTCTCTCTGCTCCCTGAGCTTCGTCATACCTTTGTATGTGTGTGTGTGTGTGTGTGTGTGTGTGTTAGTTAGTTACCCATTTGGTCCTAGGCACATGTCGATTAGACACTAGGCCTGTTGGGTATGTGCATGCGTGTGTATGTGTGTGGGGTGTGTGCTGTGTGTGGGGTGTGTGCTGGGTGTGTGCTGTGTTGGGGGTGTGTGCTGGGGTGTGGGGTGTGTGTCTGTGAGTGGGGTGTGTGCTGTGAGTGGGGTGTGTGCTGTGAGTGGGGTGTGTGCTGTGAGTGGGGGTGTGTGCTGTGAGTGGGGTGTGTGCTGTGAGTGGGGTGTGTGCTGTGAGTGGGGTGTGTGCTGTGAGTGGGGTGTGTGCTGTGAGTGGGGTGTGTGTTGTGAGTGGGGTGGTGTGGTTGTGTGGTGTCTGTGTTGTGTGTGGGGTGTGTGCTGTTAGTGGGTGTGTGCTGTGAGTGGGGTGTGTGTTGTGAGTGGGGTGTGTTGTGAGTGGGGTGTGTGTTGTGAGTGGGGTGTGTGTTTGTGAGTGGGGTGTGTGTTGTGAGTGGGGTGTGTGTTGTGAGTGGGGTGTGTGCTGTGAGTGGGGTGTGTGTTGTGAGTGGGGTGTGTGCTGTGAGTGGGGTGTGTGCTGTGAGTGGGGTGTGTGCTGTGAGTGGGGTGTGTGCTGTGAGTGGGGTGTGTGCTGTGAGTGGGGTGTGTGCTGTGAGTGGGGTGTGTGCTGTGAGTGGGGTGTGTGCTGTGAGTGGGGTGTGTGCTGTGAGTGGGGTGTGTGTGTGTGAGTGGGGTGTGTGTTGTGAGTGGGGTGTGTGTTGTGAGTGGGGTGTGTGCTGTGAGTGGGGTGTGTACTGTGAGTGGGGTGTGTGCTGTGAGTGGGGTGTGTGTGCTGTGAGTGGGGTGTGTGCTGTGAGTGGGGTGTGTGCTGTGAGTGGGGTGTGTGCTGTGAGTGGGGTGTGTGCTGTGAGTGGGGTGTTTGCTGTGAGTGGGGTGTTTGCTGTGAGTGGGGTGTGTGTTGTGAGTGGGGTGTGTGCTGTGAGTGGGGTGTGTGCTGTGAGTGGGGTGTGTGTGCTGTGAGTGGGGTGTGTGCTGTGAGTGGGGTGTGTGCTGTGAGTGGGGTGTGTGCTGTGAGTGGGGTGTGTGCTGTGAGTGGGGGTGTGTGCTGTGA